TGTGTGTGTGTGGCTATATGCACATGATTGCAGGTGCCTGCAGAAGCCAGAGTGTCAGATTCCCCTGGAGCTCTGCCTGACAGGGTTAATGGGAATCCAACTTGGATCCTTTGCAAGAGCAGTAAGTGCTCTTAACCACTATGCTCTCCAGCCCTGAGGTGCACTTTTTTTTCCACTTTATACTATATTGCTCCATTTAAAAGCCAGGCTGGGCCTGGGGATGTAGCTACATGAGGCCTTGGGTTCAATCCCTGGCATTGGACACTCACCTGTAATCCTAGCACTCAGGAGGTAAGGGCAGGAAGATAAGAAGTTTAAGGTCATCTTCAGTTACAAGGTTGAATTTAAGGCCAGCCTACGTTATGTGAGACCCTGTCTCAACAAACAAAACTAAACTAAAATCTTTAGAATGATCCTTGTAGAAGTTGGATCTGTTCCTTAAGAAAGAACAACTTGGACTAGAGAGAGAGCTCAGCAGTTAAGAGTACTGGCTTCCCTTGCAGAGAACCTGGGTTTGGTTCCCAGCACCCATATGGCAGCTAACAACTGTCCTAACTCCAGTTCCAGGGGATCTGATGCCCTCTTCTGACCTCCACGGACATTACACAACACAGGTACCCATACACACATGCAGGTAATACACTTGTACACATAAAATAAAAATAATACATCAGGGCTGGAGAGATGGTTTAGCAGTTAAGAGCACTGGCTGCCCTTGCATAGGACCCAGGTTCAGTTCCCAGCACTCACATGGCAGCTAACAGCCATAGCTCCAGTTCCAGGGGATCTGATGCCCTCTTTGGATTTCTGCAGGCATTGCATGACATGGGTGTACCTACCTACTTGCAAGCAATATACTCATAAACATAAAAATAATAAAATATTTTAAAAATGAAATTTACAACAAAGCTGGGTGTGGTGGTGCACACCTTTAAATCCAGAACTTGGGAAGCAGAGGCAGGTGAATCTCTGAGTTCTAGGCCAGCCTGGTTTGCATAGTGAGTTCCAGGCTAGCTGGGGCTACAGAGAAACCCTGCCTCAAAAATACAAAAGGAAAATTAACAAAAAAACATGTTGTGGGCTGGGTATGGAGGCAGAGGCAGGCAGGCTCAAGGCCAGCCTGGTCCACATAGCAAGTCATTGTTCCAGGTCACCTGATAAAGGGAGGCCCTGTCTCAAAAACAAACAAAAAACCCAAAACTAAGTTGAGCTGCTTCTACAATTGAATTCCTGTCTGCATAGCATTCATCTAGCACTGCCTCAGGAAGTGCATCTCATTCTTGGATTCTTGCTTAAATGGCCAATAAACAATTTCCAGAAGAGTCTGAGGCATGTTTTCTTTTTTGTGTTTGTATGTATGTATATGAGTGTGCAAGCCCACACATGGGAGGGGGGCGTGTGCATGTGGAGGCCATCTTGGGTGTTATTCCTCAGGTGCTGTCTACCTGTTTTTGAGGTAGGGTCTCTACTGGCCTAGAACTTTCCCAGTAGGGTAGGCTGGCCGGACAGCAAGCCCCAGGGATCTGCCTATCTCCAGCTTCCCAGGGCTGGAACTGCAAATGTAGAAGTGTAGCCACCATTGCTGGCTGGCTGGCTTTTTCTTATACCTTTCCCTTCCTTCCCTCCTTCCCTCCGTCCCTCCGTCCCTCCTTCCCTCTTTCTTTCTTTCTCTTTCTCTTTTGGTCTAGAACTTGCATGTAGTTGAGGATGGCTTTGAACTTCTGATCCTCCTGCCTCTACCTCCCAAGTGCTAGGATTACAGGCATGAGCCACCACACTCAGTTTTATGCAGCACAGGGAACTGAACTCAGGAACTTGAGCATGCTAAATAAGCACACTACCCGCTGAGCTATTCCCCAGCTCCTCCTTTTAACAAGGGTTCTGGGGCTAAAACTCAGGTCCTCATGCTTACAAGGCTATAAGTACTTTACCCACAGCCCCAGGGGTGTTTTCTGAGTTAGACTTTCATGTTAGCAGTAAACTGAGCTCTCTTCATTCTTCATGACTCTTAGCAGGTGGCTCTGTGACACATTTTGGGCAAAGTCAGTACTCAGCTGCCTCCAACTGGTCTAAATGCCAAGCTGGTAGTCCTGGAAGAGTGGCTGAGAGTCTGCTATTCTCAGCCTTAGTTTTCTGAAAGCTACGGGCAAATCAGTACAAGCACTTTACTCTTTGCCCAAATCTTCTCACAGCACATGACTCCCAACTTTCTACTCTCCAGCCCTCAAAGCACCTCCTCCCCTACCTGAGCAGGCAGGCAGTTCTAAGTGTTGGAGAACTGGGTCAAGTTAGGCAGAGCCAAATTGAGATGCACTGAAGGTGGTATAAGGAGAGAGAAGTTAGTAACCTAAGACAGGTTTGGCTTGAAGTTCTTAGATGGGCATAAATTGGGCATGAGGTACACAACTGTAATCCCAACACCTGGGAGGCTAAGGCAGGAGGACTGCCATGAGTTTGAGGTTAGACTAGATGATACAGCAAGCACCAGGCTAGCCAGACTACAAGGCAAGACTCTGTCTCAAAACACACACACACACACACGTGTGCATGCGCAAATAAAATAAACAACAAAAAAGGAACAGAGCTCTTAGCTACCCACAATGTCCAAACATACAAATACACACACACACACACACACACACACACACACACACACACGTGTGCATGCGCAAATAAAATAGACAACAAAAAAGGAACAGAGCTCTTAGCTACCCACAATGTCCACACCTGGAATTCCAGCTCCTGAGAGGCTAAGGCTGGAGAACTGCCTTGAGTTTGAGGTCAGCCCGGGCCTTGCATCCAAACAAAAACAAAAGCAAAAATGTCATTCAGTGATAGAGGTAGACATATATGTATTGTAAATTCAGCTCAAGGAGCTGAATCTACCTAGAAATAGTCTCCCAGTTCAAAAGGCAGTACCTTTGTGAGGAAGGAGCCAATACTGGTCATGGAAATCTCTGGAGACAAAGATCTTCCCCCGTCCCTTTTGTTTATTTATTTTTTTGCAGTGCTAGAGACTGAAGCCAGGGTTCACACACGCTAGGCAAGCTCTCTACCACTGAACTATGTCCTAGCCTTCTCCACTTTTGTTATTTGTTTGTGTGTGTATGCACACACGTGTGGTGCACAGAGGGTAATCTAAGGGAACTGGTTCCTGCTTTCCACTCTGTGGGGCCCAGGGCTTGCAAGTACCTTTACTCTCAGCCCCTCCACACATTCTGAATCCACTCACCCTCATAACAAAAGTCCAGAAACTGGCTTTCTCCTATGAACCTTTTTTATTACATTTGAACAGGAATGGTTAAAAATGGGGTCCTAGCTGGGTGTGGTGGCGCATGCCTTTAATCCCAGCACTCAGGAGGCAGAGGCAGGCGGATCCTTGTGAGTTCAAGGCCAGCCTGGTCTACATAGTGAGTTCAGGTCAGCTGGGGCTACAGGGAGACCCTGTCACACACACACACACACACACACACACACACACACACACACACAAAGGTATCCTTTCTAGAAGGAATTCCCTATCAGACTCCCTGATAAGCAGTCGTGAGGTGCAGGCAAGGGTCTGACTTCCAAGAGGCAGGTCTAGCACATGCTGCCACCCTTTTGTCTCCCAAAACATCCAAACAGCTCTATTTGTCAAACAATGTGAGAAAGTAAAATTTCTCTACCTACTGACCTTATTTATTTATAAGCCCCAGCAGTCCTGGAACTCACTATGTAGACCAGGCTGGCCTTGAACTCACAGAGATCCACTTGCCTCTGCCTCCCGATTGCTGGGATTAGAGGCGAGCGCTACCACGCCCAGCTATTTATTTATTTTTTGTTGTTGCTGTTAATTTTTTGAGACAGGCTGCTATACAGCTGAGGATGACCTTGAACTCCTGACCCTCCTGCCTCCTATTGCCAAGGTCTTTCAGAGACAAGATCTGGCCCCAGCTGACCTGGAACTCCCTATGTAGCCTAGGCTGGCCTCAAACTTCAAGTACTGGGATTTTAGGCATGAACCACCATGTTCTGTTATGTACTGGCCTTAAAAGGCTGAAATAACATGGCTATCAACAGTGAAATAAATCCCAGCACTCAGGAGGCAGAGGCAGGCAGATCTCATGAGTTTGAGGCCAGTCTTGTTTCCATAGTGAGTACCAGGTCAACCAAGGCTACACAATGAGGCCCTGTCTCAAATCAAAACAAAACAAAACAAAACCAACACCCAAATAAAACCATTCAAATCCTCCAAAGAATCCAGTTTGAACCAGTAACACTCCCAACTGGGATCTAAAACAGATTCCTTGTGTTTAATGGGTAGAAAGGCGGCAAGGAGAATGATGTTGGGGCAGAAGGTGAAGGAGACAGTGTCAAGGCTCCATCCATACTTTGGGTTATCTCCCAAACAGCAAGAGAGGAGTAGAAAACTTTTCTCTGGTTTCCCTCAGGAGTTTTGAGGTAAAATCCAACGATCTTAAGTTCAAACAGAATTTATTTCCGGTGTCTTAGGTGTGAGTAATTCAGGAATTCAGGAGTCACATGCAGACTAAACCCATAACCACAACATTCTCTTCTCCCATCTGTGCCTTCCTGAACAGAATGAAATCAGAGGAAAAAACAAACAAACCAAACAATGAAGCCGGTGTGATAGTGCACACCTTTAATCCCAGCATTTAGGAAGCAGAGGCAGGCGGATCTTTGGGAGTTAAAGGCCAGCCTGGTCTATATAGCTAGTTCCACATCAGCTGGGGCTACGGAGAGACCCTGTCTCAAAAAGACAGAAAAATACCCCAAAAGCAAAAAACAAAAACAATGGACGATAGCTCTGTTTTCTATGGGAGCTTTACAGAGCTGGGGAAGGAAAAAGGCTCACAGGTTAGAGAAAGATGTGGAATTAGATGTTGTCTGTAAACTGACTACACACACCTTTCCAGGAAACAAATCTAGATGTTTTGCTTGTTTCCAACTTGTAGCTCTGAAATGCTCTTTAGAGGCCTGGAAGGAAACCCACCAACCTTTGCTCAGTTCATGTCTGTCTTACAGAAGAAAGTTGACTCATCTTTTCAGCTGGCTGTAGATGGTAGCGTCCTGTTTATAATACAGATGAAGACAGCTCAGCTTCATTATCTAAGCGCTTGGGGAGCAGTGCAGAGGGGATGAATTCCCAAGTCATGCAAGGAATGGCCAGTGTCTGAAATGTGAAGCCTGGAAAAAGACCACCAGGGCAGGGGGATAGATCACCTCATTGTCTCCTTTTAGATCTCAGATGGCTGCATCTTTTCTCTCCTTCTTTGTGCTTCCCTGTCCTCCCCATGAAGACTGTGGAAGAGAGAGAAAGCTGAGGTTTATGTAAAGGAGGAGAATCACCCCCATGTCCCCCACCCCACTCCATGTCTCATTTCAGGATTTAAGGACAGGTGTGATGCACATGAGATGATACTTTTGGAGCCTTTTGGTGTCTTGTGTTTCTAGAAAGATCCTACAAGGTCACTACTGTTCAGCTGTATGCTTGGGTAGAGCAGGGCAAGCAGAGCAGGGGAACTCAATTGAGATTTCTTCATTGTTTGTTTGGTTTGGTTTTTTTGAGACAGGGTCTCCCTATAGCATCAGCTGGCTTGGAACTCGCTATGTTGACCAGGCTGGTCTTGATCTCACATCCATCTGCCTCTACCTCCAGAGTGCTGGGATTATAGGTGTATACCACCATGCCCAGCTTTTTGTTGCCTTTGACACAGTCCTTTTCTATGCTTATTTATGTGTGTATATTTTGTGTACATTGTATGTGCATATGTATTGTATATATGTTTGTGTGTGTGCGCATGTGCACATGTGTACCTGGGCATGTGAAGGCCAGAGGACAACTTTGGATGTCATTCCTATTTATTTGTATGTGTAAGTGCATGCGTATGTGCACGTGTGTCACAATACATATGTGGAAATCAAAGGACAACTTGAGGAAGCTGGCTTTCTCCCTCTACGATATGTGTCCCTAGGCTAGAACTCAGACCAGCTTGCAGCAAATGGTCTATCTTGCCAGCTCCACCTTGACATATGTGTGTGTGTGTGTGTGTGTGTTCCTCTCTCTCTTTCAGACAGGGTCTCACTATGTAGCCCTGGCTGACCTGGAACTCACTCCTGGCTTCCACCTTGACTTTTTTTTTTGTTTCTTTTTTTGTTTTTTTTGAAACAGGGTCTCCCTGTAGCCCCAGCTGTCCTGGAACTCACTATGTAGACCAGGCTGGCCTTGATCTCACAGGGATCTGCCTGCCTCTGCCTGCTTCCCAAGTGCTGGGACTACAGGCCTGCGCTGCCATGCCCAGCTTCCACCTTGACTTTTGAGACAGTCTCATTAGCCTGGAACTAGCCAAGCAGGGCCCTCTTCTCTCCACTCCTCAGCCCTGAGATTACCAGTGAGTGAGTCACCACATTTAGCTTTTTTTTTTTTTTTTTTTTTTTTTGAGACAGGGTTTCCCTGTAGCCCCAGCTGGCCCTGAAACTCACTATGTAGACCAAGCTGGCCTTGAACTCATAGAGATCCGTCTCCCTCTGCTTCCCCAGTGCTGGGATTAAAGGTGTGGGTCACCATGCCCAGCCACACCTAGCTTTTTAAAAAAAGATTTATTTCTAGTCGGGCGTGGTGTTGCACACCTGTAGTCCCAGCACTTGGGAGGCAGAGGCAGGTGGATCTCTCGAGTTCAAGGCCAGCTTGGTCTACATAGTGAGTTCCAGGACAGCTGGGGCTACAGGGAGACCCTGTCTCAAAAAGGCCCCCAAAATTTTTATTTAATGTTTTTAATTTTATGTGTATTCATGTATTGCCTACATGTAGGTAAGTGCACCTGTGTCATGCAATGTCAGAAGAGGCTGTTGGATCCCCTGGGACTGGAGTTACCTACAGTTGTTAACTGCCATGTGGGTGCTGGGATTCGAACCCAGGTCTTCTGTAAGAGCAACCAGTGTTCTTAACTGCTGAGCCATCTCTCCAGCCCCTAGTTCAATTATTTTCGAAATTTAAAGAATTTGTTTGTTTTTTTGAGATAGGGTTTCACTATGTAGCCCTAGCTGGCCTGGAATTCTCTGTATAGATCAGCTGGTCTCTAACTGCCAAGTTCTGGGATTAAAGGCACGCACCACCATGTCTGGCACTATTTATTTTTATGTGTTTTGCCTGCATGTATGTGTACTACATGTATGCAATGCCTGCAAAGGCCAGAAAAGTGCATCGGATACCCTGGAACTATAGTAAGGGTAGATTGTTAGCTTATATCCAACCTAGGTCCATTGTAAAAGCATCCAGTGCTCTTAACTGCTGAGCCACCTCGCTAGGTTCTATTGTTATTTTTAAATTTTGTGAGTGTGTGTGTGTCCAAGTATGGGCATGTGCATGTGACAGCAGGTGCCTGCAGAGGCCAGATCGCCCTGGAGCCGGAGTTACAGAGTTGTTGCCTGATATCAGGCCCTCTGCAAGAGTGCTATTTAAAATTATTTATTTTAATAAAAATTTTAAAGTATTTATTTATTATTTACTTAGTTTAAAAAAAATTTTTTTTTTGGTCTTTTTGAGACAGGGTCTCCCTAAAGCCCCAGCTGGCCTGGCATTTGCTACATAGACCAGGCTGGCCTTGATCTCACAGAACTCTACCTGTCTCTGTCTCCAGAGCACTGGGATTAAAGGTGTGTGCCACCATGCCGGGCTTTTTTTTTTTTAAAAAAAAACTACATTTATTTATATATGTATTTATATATTTATTTATGAGCAGGTATGTGCATGCCACAATGTGGATGCAATGGTGTGTGTTGTGTGGAGGTCAGGGGAGTCTACCCCGTGGATTCTGGGGATTCAGCTCAGATGTTTAGGCTTGGTAACAAGTTCCTTTACCTGCTGAGTCACCATGCACATCCCCCCTTTTAAAAAAATTATATTTATTTTGTCTGCAAGTGTGCAGGTATACAAGAACACATGTGTAATCAGAGTACAACTTGTGGGAACTGGTTCTTTCCTTCCATCATGTGAATCCCAGGGGTCAAACTCTGCTTACCAGGCTTGGCAGTATGTGTCTTTACCTCCTGAGTCATAGGATTGGCCCAAATGAATCTTGATATCCAGCCTAAACTGGAACTATATCTTCTGGACTGGCCTGGAACTCATGTCAATCCTCCTGCCTTAGCCTCCTGAGTTCTGGGATTACAGGCTTGTTCCATCAGGCTGGTATTAATTTGAGTTTATACTAGTCAGTTTTGAAGCAAAAAATGTCCCAAATAGGATTATCTCAAGTCTTGATTAGGGTAGGGTGTCAAAAATTGATAGAAAATATTGTCTTTGGTGGGAATCCTGGCCAGAAGTACCTGATACACACTGATGACAAGAGCTCACTGTTGCTTGGGCCAGAAAGATATTTTCAGGTTCCTTGGCTAACAAAGATTCTTGGTTGGATACAGGGCAGGGTGGCCTGCCTGCACCTTTAATTTCAGCACTTGGGAGGCAGAGGCAGGTGGATCTCTGAGATAGATGCCAGCCTGGTCCACAGGCTGGTCAGGAGGGCTGGGACTAGGGAGACCCTGTGAAAAACAAAACAAAACAACAAAACCAAACCAAACAAACAAAAAGAATCTTGGATAGATGTGGTGGTGTACTCCTTTAATCCCAGCACTCAGGAAGCAGAGGCAGGTGGATCTCTGTAAATTCTCTGAGGTTAGCTTCACCTGCATAGTGAGGTCAGCTAGGGCTACATAGTGAATGTCTTCCTTAATCTCTCTCCACCAAGTACATTGAGCCAGGGTCACTCAGCTGAACCCAGAACTCTCCAGTTCAGCTAGTCTAGTTAGCTGAATTGTTCTGGGGCTTCCTTGCCTCTGCCACCATATCCTCTGGCATTTATGCAGATACTGGGGATATGAACTTCAGTCTCATACTTATGTGGCAATTGTTTTATGCATGAACAGTTTTTCGGTCTGTGTCCAGTGACTTAAGTCCTTGAACTGGAAACACAAGTTTTATGAAGAAATATCTTCCTACTCTCATGGTTTTTCAGAAATTATGTGCTGAGGATAATACCAAGTGCTCACTGGATCTTTTTATGGCAAAAACAGTGCTCCTTGGCTCAGGGACAACTCAGCTCTGTTTATGTGCTACATCAGTGCCTACAAGGTTGATCTCGCGCCTAAGGACCAGGTTCCTAACAGCCTTAAATGTTTTTTTCTGATAAACCTTGACTCCATCTCTCTGTTTCCAGAATACAGCCTATAACTCTTCTGAAAAGATGAGGTAAATCAACAGCCTGGAATTCAGAGCCATGGGACCAATAAAGAGAGGGAGTCCCTCTGCCTGTGGCATCATCCACATCCACAGGGCCCCACATATTTTATTGTTCCAAGTAAAGGAAGCTGGAAACACCTGACCAACAATAACTAGTCCTTGTTTAACTTCCTTAGTTAGTGTGTCTGCACACTCACTGTATGTGAAGAGAGTAAGAGAAAGAGAGGAGTGAAAAAGTACGCCAATTTGAGAGAAAAGAATTCTTTTGTAGATGTTGGTAGAGGCATGGGGAGATTAACAGGTGGGATAAGTTTCTCCCATGCTGGAAACTATAAGCTGCCAATTTCCAACTAAGAAGAAATAAGAAAAGTTCATGCGCATTTTCTTTGGGAAAAAGGCAGGACTTCTGAGGCATCTTTTGAAATCTGCCTTACCCTTAACCTACTGAGATGAAGGGGCTTGCTCCAAAGTTGCCTTTGAACTAACTGTACTCAGTGGGCAACAACATGCTTGTGACATCAGTGTTTACTGACTAGAGCAAGATACAATTCTGAAGTTGCTCAAACACCAGGGAAACCTCTGCTGCTTTCCAATGGTAAAGTTAGTTTCTCTTTTTTTTGTCTTTTTGAAACAGGGTCTCTCTGTAGCCCCAGCTGCCAGGAACTCACTATGTCGACCCGGCTGGCCTTGAACTCACAGAGATCCACCTGCCTCTGCCTCCCAAGTGCTGGGAAATAAAGGCGTGTACCACCACAACCAGCCCTCCTGAGACTATTTTTGTCTCAGGAGTCATTAATCTTACTGTTCTTAGGAATTAAGGAGCTGTCTGGATGCCTGGGCTTCAGGCCATTTGTAGAGAAGGCTACAGTTTCTTGTACACCACCAAGGAAGATTCACTAACCTAGTCTTCATAGAGGTTAGGGATTACCAGCAAAGCACACACACCTACCACATAAGACACTGTTTTCAAGTATTATCTGGTTTGACCTTTCATCTGGCCTTGTCCTCAGAATTTATCTAAAGTGGAATATTTGAAGTATTCAAGGACCTGTTTTCTATGTTTCCTAAAAATATAAATGTGTCCCAGGCAAAGTGAGCAAATATCAGTAAGGGAGACATCCAGGCCTCAAAGGCTGTATGACTGGCCGTGAGGATGGAAAGTGCAGAGCTGGCACTTTCCGACTACAGATGCTTTGAGGAATGAGGGAAGACTAACACGACAGAATTAAATATATGAGAGTTGGGAACTGGAGAGATGGCTCGGTGGTTAAGAGCACTGACTGCTCTTGCAGAGGACCCGGGTTCAATTCCCAGCACCCACATGGTGGCTATGACCCATCCTTAACTCCAGTTCCAGGGGAATCTGAAGTCCTCTTCTGATCTCTGCAGCAGTGCATGAATGGGTGCACTCACATACATGCAGGCAATATACTCATATACATAAAACAAAAATAATAAAATATTGCTAGCTTGGTCGACATACTGAGTTTCAGGCCAGTTGTGGCTACAAAGGAGATCCCATCTTAAAAAGAAAAGAAAAGAAAAAAAAAAAACACAGGCTGGAGAGATGGCTCAATAGTTAAGAACACTGGCTGTTCTTGCAGAAGACCCGGGTTTGAATTCCAGCACCCACATGGCAGTTAATAATTGTCTGTAACTCCAGTTCCAGGGGATGTGATGCCTCTCTGTCCTCCGTGGGTATTGCATGACACAGGTGTACTTACATACATGCAGGCAATATACACATGCATGTAAAAATAATAAAATATTTAAAAAAGAAAAACTTAAAAACAACAAAACTTTAAATTTTTTTATTTTACTATTTTAAAATTGTGTGTATGTCGGTGGGGGGGGGCTTGCAGCTGTGAGGGCAGTGCCTGTGGAAGCCAGAAGAATGTGTTGGATCCTTTGGAGCTGGAGTTGCAGGCAGTTGTAAGCCAGCCTGACATGGATGCTGAGAATCAAAGTTGGGTCATCTAGAACAGCAGTACATGCTCTTACCCTCTGAGTCATCTCTCCAGCTCCCTAAAAATCTCTTTTGTGCGTGGATATGCACTGTGTATATGTATGGAAAGGTTGATGCTGGGTGTGTTCCTTGATCATTCCCCAACTTATTTTTTGAGAAAGGGTCTCTCTGAATCTGAAGAGAGAAAACTTACTTTACTGTCAGGCTCACCTGGCTACCTGTCCCACCCAGCACTGAGATTACAGATATGTGCTGGCTTTTGTATAAGGGGTTGGAAATTCAAACTCATGCTTACATGGCAAGTGCTTTACCAACTAAGCCATCTCCCCTGGCCCTGAAAAAAATTCTCTCTCTCTTTGGCTTTTTGAGATAGGGTCTCACTTACTGGCTGGTTTGGAATTTGCAGAAATCAGCCTGCCTCTGCCTCCCAAGTGCTGGGACTAAAGGCATGTGCCACCATGCATGGCAAAAATCTCATAAAAGATTTTATATGTGTTTTTCCTGTATGCATGTAAGTACACCCATATATGTAATGCCCACAGAGGCCAGAAGAGGGTGTAGGATTTTCCTGGAACTGAGTTATAGGCAGCTGTGAACTGCCATGTGGTTGCTGGCAACAGAACCAGGATCCTCTGCAAGAGCAGTCAATGCTCTTAACCACTGAGCCATCCTTCTAGCCCCACCTGTCTTGTGTGTGTGTGTGTGTGCGCGCCACAACATGTAGGACAATTTTCAGTAGTTAGTTCTCTCTTTGATTCAGGTCTGGTCATTAGGTTTTCCCTGAAGTGCCATGTCAACAAGCCCAAAAATCTCTTCGTACTGTCTTGTCCTGAAATTCTTTTTTGTCTCAAAACCAAGACTGATTTTTCCTGAGTTGAAGTCCCCAAAAGATTAAGGAAGCTCCTCAGGTTGCTTTAGGCAGCAGCAGTGAGTTGTGCCTCTGTCCCTGCCCTAGTAAGAGTCATAACGGTTGATAGTATTGTTTATAACGAGGTGAAAGAAGGTCGAAAGGCTTACACATATTAGCTGATAATATATCAAATCTTCCCAGGAGTAAAATCTTGACCTTGGATGAACAAATGGGGAACTTTATTTCTGAGACATCTCACATCAAGAAGTCCACATTCCATCCAACATTCCTCTTAGGACCAATACAGAGCTAGTCATGACTTAAACAAAACACAAAAGATCCAGGTATTATGGTGCTGAAGATGTGCAATCTCCACACTTGGGAGGTAGAGGCAGAAAGATCAGAAGCTCAAGGTCATCCTCAGCTATATAGCAAGTTTGAAGCCAGACTGACATGCCTGAGACCTTTTCTCAAAAACAAACCAAAAACCAAAATCAGCCAGCCAAACAAAACCCACAGAGAAATTGAATGAAAATTCATCTAGGCACACCTGCAATCCCAGCACTCAGGATGCTGAGGCAGGAGGATCACCACAAGTTCAGGAACTCCAGGTCATTATCACCTTCATGTTGAGTTCTAGGCCCACCTGGGTTACATGAGACCCTGTCTGGAAAAATCAACCAGGGCTGATAAGATGGCTCAGCCAATAAGGGAGCTTGCTCCACTTGCAAGCCCAGTGACCTCAGTTGGATCCCTAGAACCCACATAAAGGTAGAAAGAGGGAACCCACTCCAAAGCTATTCTGACTTCTACACTCGGCCCTGGCATGCAAGTCCACATACATCGATCAAATAACCAAACAAAACCCCACCAAATCAAACAGTATATCTAGCAGATAAAGAGTAAGAAAATAACTGGGTCTGTATGAGGAGGCAGCCGAGGATGGTTTCAACATTCAGGAAGCAGGCCGTCCGCTTCCAAGCTGTGGCTCACCTGGAGGGTGACTCTGTTAGGTCTCTTAAGGACTACCCCAGCCTGGCTTCTCAAGTTCCCCACGCTTCTCACCCTAGAGTCCAGACTGCAATCCACTTTGCTTCTTCCACGTTTTTCCCACTCTTCCACGGCCTCCCAGAGCCATTCCCACTAGGCCTAGGTCTGTTCTTCCCCGGTTCTCAGACCCCTGGGTTCCTTGCTTTTCCCTACTGTCCCGTGCTACCCCACACAGGAGCCTCCACACGGAAGTTCCTGCCTGGCCACAGCGTTCTCTGGACCCATCTCCCTGTTAACATCCAACGCGGGGTCTCAGGCCGAAGGACTGCAGACGATCTTCTGTCCCAACGGCCCCAGCCCCCATTCCCTGCCCACCCTGCCGCCCCGCCATTGTGGCTACTTCTAGCTCAAGCCCCGCCCCCGGCGGCCGAGACCCCGCCCCCGCCTCGCGTGAGCCCCGCCCCACACTCACCTGAGGCGTCTCCGCGCGCGCGCAGGCTGTAGGGGGTTGGGAAGAAGGGATGTGCTGGGGGAGAGAGGGTGGGGGTCCTCCACTCTGGCCCGAGTGGCCCAGTGCGGGGAGAACGGGGTCACGGAGGCGGCGGCAGCCAGGCGGAAGCCAGGACCCGGGCGCCCAGCGGCGGCGGCTCCATCTCCATCAGGGGCTTCACCTGAGGAGGGACCGGCCCCCCCACAAAGCCCCCCCCATTACGGCCGTCCCCCCCTCCCGAATAACTTCCGGTCCTACTACCAGCGACAGGAGGCTTGGCCAAACACCGAGCGCCCCCAGCCCGGGAGACTGCTGAGAAAAAAAGAGAGGAGCTAGGGGAGAGTAGCCGAGCACCGAAAGACCTTTTTTTTTTTTTTTTTTTTTTTTTTTTAAAGTCCAAAAGGCCCTGTAGTGTTGAGGTTAACTCAAATGTACCTCTTCTTCTGCATCTAATTTGCAAACTAGGCGCATACGGGGCGCCCCATCTGCCCTGGCACGGCACGGCTGCCCCTGGTGCCAAGGTTGCTCTTGCCCCTCCTAATATTGATTTTGACTCTTAGCAAGCATTCTTTGCCATTCCTGGCAATTGCGGAGAAATTGGGGGGGGGGTGAATCTGAGGGTACTAAATGTTTAAATCGCTTCTGTATAGGTATCCCCAGGTCAGTGACTTTGGCGGTGCTGCAGAGGGTGACAGACCCACTTTTTAATTTTTCCAGTGCCTGCACCCTCCCCTCCCCCAGGCTTTGGGTTATTTTCATTGGCTCCCTCTTGCAAGAAATTCATTCTCCAAGCCCAAGAGGCCCTCCAGTCATAAACAGACACTTTATTGGTATATTTAGAAAAGTAGAGCTATAAGAGGAACCGAACCCCCTTGCAACCCAGAAGCAATAGAAAGTAGTAATGTGTACTTCTTAGATACACCAGACATTTGCTGAAGAATTCAAGAAATACAAAATAAGGCCACGATGGAAGATGGAAGAATAGGCATAGCGGGATGAGAAATTAGTTGTCTTCAGAACTACTTTCTCACCTCTAGTCTCTTGCTCCAATAGCTTCCCTCCTGGCACAGGAGGTATGTAAATAGTATCAAAGGAGAGTGGGCTCTTGGTGGAAATGTGCAATGTGTGTTCCTGGGTCTGGCTTAGGAAGTCACAGTACAAGGTAAAATCCAAGAAGAGGAAGCCAAAGTTTTTCTGACGCAGTAAAGTTTAAGGATGGGTAGGAAAAGGGGTTGAGGTGGACCTTCAGGTGTAGATGGCTCCATTTCATGGTTTCATGGGACTACATGAACATGGACACGGTGCCAGGCATTGCTGAGCACACCTCGCAAGTTCCAGATGGGAGCCACAGTGTCTGGCTGCACGTTGTAGCTGTCATCCACAGCTTTACAAATGATGGTCAATTCCTTTTGTCCAGGTGGCACATGGGCTTGCAGCTGCCATAATCGCCAGGCCCAGGCCTTCCTGGGGCGCTGTTCCTCTTCATCTAGCTCAGCTTCCTGCCACGTTAGTCCCCCATCCAAAGACACATCCACCCGAATCACAGCCCTACCACCACCACTCCATGCATAGCCCTTGATAGTCACTTCTCCTGACTCTATAGTCTCCCCGTCCTGAGGCTGTGTGATGGCTGACTGGATAGGTAGTTCCTGAATAGATGGAGCTGAATCAAAGTCCACAGTGTTCCAATCCACAGATGGAGAGAAGCCTTTGTAATCTCGCCGTTGCCAGTGACTATAACTTTCCTCTGACTCCACACTTACTCTGCCTAGCCATTTGACATTGCGGGCACCTACCACACCAGGAACCACCACCCGTACAGGGAAGCCATGGTCACGAGGCAGAGGCTGCCCATTCATCTCATATGCCAAGAGGACCTCAGCCTCAGGATCCATGGCCCGAGCCAGAGGGATGGATGCTCCATAGGCAGTGCCAGTGGGGTCTGAGTCCAGTCCCTCAAAACAGACATGGGCCTCAGTTTCACAGCGTTGGTGACCAGCCTGGGCTAAAACATCACAGAGCCGTGCCCCAGCCCAGCGTGCAGTGCTGATGGCCCCTGTCCTCCACTCCAGACCTTTTACTTCCTTGACCTGAGTCATCTCAGAACGCCGGTTGCCGGCACACTGCACAGTGACAGTGATCTCATGTTTAGGAAACTTATACAATTCATTCAGGGACAGGGACAGCGACTGACCTCCAGGTGCCCCTACTACATGCAAGCGATAGGTATCTGGGTCCAGGTTAGGTACAGGCAGATGGTTCCGGGTGAAGAAGATGGGGTTGGGTGTGATGTAGGTTTCTGTAAGCAGCTCAGGGGGAGGCTCTGCATTAAAGGGGCGCTGGCTGTTAATCTTCAGGGCTGGGTGGCGCACAGGATCATTAGCATAAGGGTCAGAGGTCTCCAAGGTGGGGTACATGTTATCTTCAGGGTTCAGTTCCCCAATCTTGTACTGAGCCAATAATTCACGCACATGAGACTGATTATGAACTGCATAGAGGGCCCAGAAGGGTTCTAGGGGACCACCAGCTGCTAACATCAGTTTTGATGGTCCTCCTGGGTGTAGGCCCACAAATTCTGTGACATCAAAGACCTCAGAACCTAGGGTTACCCAGATTCCAGTCTCAGGGTTGTTGTGGGAACTCACATCCTCCTTAGTGTACATATGTGGTGATTCCTGAGCAGCCTGCAGGCAGGGAAGAGGGAAAGTGAAAAGGAACAGAGTATGAAATCACTCTAGGTCATTGTGAACCCACCCACAGTTTTAGTCACTGGGAAATGAAAGGAACAAACAGTGCCATCATGGGCAAGAACATGAATCACAGTCTGGGTTGTCTGGGGAACTCACTACAAGGAAGCCCCTTCTCCACTTACCCTACACCGATGGTCATGATATGCCAACACTGTACCGAGGCCTAGCAGGGTCCCCATGACTCTCCATCGCCCAGAGCTTGAATTATCATTGGAGAAGGTGAGGCTGGAGTGCTGGGGCGTATATGAATCATTTGTGGAGCATGCTTGAATACAGAGCCTTGAGGAAGTTGACTTAAGTCTGGAAGAAAGAGTTCTTAGTTGCACATAAAGTCCCACAAAAGCACCAGTGAAGGTCTGGGGCCTGTCTCTCCCAACTGGTCATTGATTCCTTCAGTTGGAATTTAGTTTCTTCCAGGATGGGTGGGACCAGTGAAATATGACTTTCCCTATTCTTCTCTGAACTATCTTATCTATCAGATAAGATAAATATCTGACAGATAACTAACAGCCATATAATTATCTGGCATTACCTGGGATGTAGGCTGGGAGACAAGTACTGGGATGGGATGTCCTACCTGACAGACTGCCGAAGTCCCATGACCACAGTTCTCTGCAGCAGCAGCAGCATTGTGGAAGACCTGTATGTAGGAGGAAGAGTCTGAGTTTCAAAACAGGAAAACTCCTGTGAGGGGACATTAGGGAGACCTGAGATGAGGGTTCCAAATGGGTTCTTAGAGTGAACTGGAAGCACTTCAAAGATAGATTGTGCTGATGAGGTAGAAGGGAATAGGGTAGGGGCAGAAAGGAACAGAAGCTTCTAGAAAGAACAGTGCCTTAGGCCAAAGGCCTAAAGGACAGGTGCCAAACATCAACTGTCCAGTTTGACAATTTTTAAAAAATATCATTTTTATTTTATGTGTATGCGTGTATTGCCTGCATGTAGGTAAGTGTACCCATGTTGCACAATGCCGGCGGAGGACAGAAGAGGCTGTCAGATCCCCTGGAACTGGAGTTACAGAGTTGTTAGCTGCCATGTGGGTGCTGGGATTTGAACCCAGGTCTTCTGCAAGAACAGTCAATGTTCTTAACTGCTGAGCCATCTCTCCAGCCCTTGTTTTGCTTTTTTAAAAAAATGCTGTTGGGGATTGAATCCTAGGCCAGGAGAATCTTTGGCAAGTGTTCTACCACTGAGCTACACTCCCAGGTCCCGTTTTCAATTATTTCTAAAGTCAGACTGATGAAAACAAGGACAAACACTACAAAAGGTAGTGACAGCAGATGGGGGTAAAGAGGCACAGATCCTGGGGGCAGACTGCCTTGGGTTTGTAAAACCAGGCTGTCATTAACCAGCTTCCTAAGCAAGATAGCAAACCTTTCAGAACTTATGTCCTCATCTCTGAAATAACATCTACCTAGAAGTGATATGAAGAGTAAACAAGTAATAAATTGTATTTAATTGTTCCTTTTGTTCCCTCCACCCCCAAAAATAAATTGACCCCAGCTGGGAACTGAACCCCAATTATTGTCTCCACCCTAACCTTGTGTATGCCATTCTAGTGATCTCAGCAAATTGAGGAGTCAATGGCCTGGGTGTCAGGGGATGGGCTGGAGAAGGAAGTTAATTTTTGTGCTCTCTGTCCGGCAGCAGTTTCTTCCTCACAGTCCAGTGCCTCTGAGAAGAGCCCTGACCCAGGGAGTCAAAGTTGGGGGGAGTAAGAATCGTCCCAGCTGCTGAGATGCCACGAGTGCGGCTGTTAGGATGGGGAGACAGGGAGATGGAAATAGTCTATACTTTACTCCTGGGTTGGGGGATCCTCACTCTCTGCCATCTCCAAGTTCGGTAGCTTGGAGTAGACTAGAGTCCCACGTTTGGGAGGGGTGGCCTTCTGCTGCAATACAGAGAGAAACCCCACACCTCGATGCAGGTTCCCTGTACTCCACAGCGCTTTATGTAGGATAGTTTTGTCCAGAACTCAGGCAGAACAGCAGGCACAAGACGGCCTGGTAGCAACATCCCGTGACCCCAAGAACACCCGGGCATCAGAGATGGAGGTACCAGTCCTTTGTTATACCCAAGGCCCAGGCGCCCAACCGCTGCCTTCCCTTCTCGCCCTCCCTGCCGCAGCCCCCTTACCTGGCTGGGTGTCCGCAGCTGAGCAATTTGAGCAATTTTACCCGCTGGGCTCGAAGTACTAGGCAAGGCCGGGGCGGGGCTGGCAGCATGTGACGTGAGCAGCTTAGGAAGCCTCAGCCCCTCACCCAGTGCAGCCATTGGCCCCTCCATGGCGGCAGCTGCAGTGACCGACAGGGGAGGCGGGGCACCACCAGCGCCCCCCCCTTCCCCCGGCGGGACAGCGGCTGTTATAGCCGGGAAGGTAGGACCCTCACAGATGTCCGGAACCCAAGCAGTGGGAGCTGACGACGCCCCGAGGTGGATGGCAGAAGCGAGTTCCCGGAGGAGGCCTCCAGATCCGGGCGGCACCAAGTCTCAGCTGTTATTTGACAAGCGCCTATGTTGCAACTACAGTAGTCCTGCTTGTCTTTTAGGGAAAGCAAGGTCAGTCATCCCGTTCTCTTATACCCAGGAATGGCAGCAGAAACGACACCTAAATAGTTGCTCCAGATTTGGAGAGTCCTTGGATTAGCTGAATTTCTAAAATGTGGAACCAACAACGCTGAAAACTGTCTTTTAAAGTTTGCATAGATTAAAAAAATCCACTTAAAAAGAGCAACAGGTTTAACATTCAAAGGTGTGAATATATGGTTTTGTGTATTAAAGTGAGGGGTACTAATATAATAAATTACTCTTTACTGTTTTTGTGGAACTGAAATTTTGTCAAATTTAATCCCTGTACCAGGAGCAAACATATTTATAGACTGCCCTCTAGAGATCAGAAGTTGAGTTACAATCTTACTAATTTGGAAGATTTTTCTTCCCTTTTAGTCAAGCAGAACTTCTGGCAGGAATCAGTGACCCTGAGGTAAGAAATGTACTAAGAAGGAAAGGGGAAATAATGAAAAGTTGATTTGGGCTTTAAAGTTTTTGGAAACGGAAAGGTTTCCAACCTGAGTGTTGTCCTCCCTAACAATTGTTAAAAACAAAAATGGGTTGGAGAGATGGCTCATGGGTTAAGAGCACTGGCTGCTCTTGCATAAGATCTGGGCTTGGTTAGCACCAACATGACAGCTAACAACTGTCAGTAACTCTAGTTTCAGGGGGATCTGACACCCTCTTCTAACCTCCAAGGGCACTGCGGCATGAGTGCTCTTACATACATGCAGGCACTACATTCATACACTAATAAAAATATTTAAAAAAATAATAACAAAAAACCCCAGAAAGGTTTGGCTGGGTATTATGGCACACTCCTATACTCCCATCATTTGGGAGGCTGAAGCAGGAGATTCTGAAGTTTGAGGGCAGCCTGAGCTATATTCCCAAGACCCTGTCAAATAAGCACCTGGAATGACTTCTTCCCACATCTACTAATGCCACACATATACTTTTTATTGAGGCAGCATTTCATGTAGCCTAGGCTGGTCTCAAACTTGGTATATACCCCAGGATGACCCTGGACTCTTGATCCTCTAGCCTCAACTCCCAAATGCTGGGATAATAGGTGTGCACCATCATACCCAGCTTAAACTTCAGTATTTCTTCATTTTACAGATGAAAAAAGTGAGGCAGACAATACTAATTTGATCAAGGCCCACAACTAGTGAATTAGAAGAAATGGAACTGGAAAGCTAGGACTGCCTGACACCAAACCTTTAAAATTCTTTGATTTTAAACTCTTGCACCATACCTAATCTTTTCTGTGTTCATTCCTCTTCAGCCCCCTTTAGACTGTGATGGACTGAAGACTTCAAGTACAGTAGAAAGTAAAAAACAAATCTGGGGGAAAATTTCCTTTTGCAGTAGAAACCACAGGATCGAAGTTAATTCAATCAATTTCCCCCCTCCCTCCCTCCCTAGAAATGAGGTCTTGCTAAATGTAAATTGTTCAGGCTGCCTTCATATTCAAACTATTCCAGCTTCAGCCTAAGTAGCTGAAATCACAGGCAAGCCCCCACCCCACACCCAAATGCTTTGTCTTTCTTTTTTCTTTTTAATCTTTAGGTTATGGATCCCTTCAGAAACTAATATATGAATGGGCCTTAAGAAAATGCACATAAAACTTTGAATATTGCTTCAAATAATTAAGATATACCTCTTTTCAGTCTTGATGGTCAAGAGATCCACAGATCATACCCCACCACACAAAAAGAACAGTGTCAGATTTGATAGCCATCTTTGAGCAGGGGTGATTACATAATAAAAGGGCTATTTTCCTAATTAGATCCTTCTATTGTTCAAGAAAAGATTAGAGAATAATGAGGTGCCAAGATACAAGAGAATGTGTGTCTGAGAGTCCATAAGACTCTGCTGGGTGCCCTTTCTTACAAGTTTCTAGTGTTGGATAGACAAATGGCAAAAACAAAGTGACACTCCAATGCACTTTTCTTTTTTTCCTTTTTTACTTACATTAAATACATCGGTAAATCAGCAGTTGCAGTCTGTTACCATGATTGTTATGTTGGAAGGAAAGGGAAAGAAAGGCAAATGCTTTCTTAGAAACAAACAAAAAAAAAAAAAAAAAAAAAAAAAGGGAAAAAAGCTGACCCCCCCCCAGTTGATCAGAAGGGAAAAAAAAAAAAAGATCTGGGAAATTAAAACACAAAAACAAAAACGCACATAAATCCTTCAAGCCTAACGGAGCTCAAAGGAAGGCAGAAGTGCTGGTAGGAGTAGAGGGAAGGCAGCAGATAGGCCCAGAAACTAAGGCCAATTCTGTTCCTAAGAAAGGAAGGAAGGGGAGAAGCCTAGGGAAATGGTTTCCCAGCCCCAAGGTAATCAAACATCTTCACTTCTGTTCCTTGAATAAAACTGTACAGAGACAAGAATTTCACTTCTAAGAGACTTAGACACCCACCCTAGATTTTCCACTTGTAAAAAGGATGCACCTGGGTGCTTTGGAGGACTAATGGGTTCTAGGAAAGTAAAGTTAGAAATGTTTGTTTCAGGGCCCTGGGTACTAAGGCTGCCCCTGGAAAATGAAGAGAATTGAGGCCTAAGTGGAAGAACTTGTCAAGTCCTTGAGAATCTCAGCTTCATGGATTTCTCAGCTGCTCTGGGACAGAAGGTAGTCTGTAAGCCAAAGGGGCATAAAGGTTCTAATTCTAGGCTACTGTGGTCAGTTTTTATTTCTGAAAAATTTCCCCAAACTCTGGCTAAAATCAAAAGAACTGAGTTTTCTCTTGCACTGATAGTTTCCCACGGACATCCTAAAACACTTGTGGGATGTGAAGAGGCCAGACATTTAGAAGGACCAAGGTCCTCTGATGCTGTGGGCAACTGTGAGGCACCTTCAGTTCTAGCTACACCTGTCCATAGGAACAGATGTTTAGAGTGGGACACAAGTAAGCCTCTGTGGTACTAACCTCTAGTGGTACATGGATTAAACACCAGAGAGACGATATGGGGGGATGAAGATGGAAGAACTAAACTCAAGATACAAAAGAGAAAAGAAAAAGGGCCTAATAGGAAACAGGAGACAGAATAGACTATACAGTGAAGAAGGCTATACCTATTTACAGGAAAGTAGAAAAGACATGGTAAGATACAGCAAATTGAATGTGAACCCTGGGAAAAGATAGAAAGATCCTCCTTTTTGCCTGACCTCTCTTTACTCTAGTACCTTGGCCCATGCTATTCTGAAGCCATTCCCCAGTCACTCAAGACAAAGCTATACTCAAGAGCTAGGCTGGCAAGAACAGAGGTTATGAATCAGTCAGAGGAAGCTCGCAGTGGAAAGGGGGCTTGAGTAGCTGCCACCGTTACTGTTTTCTGTAGTGCCTCCCCAAACCTCATACATCTCAGATTCCATTTAATTAAAAAGAAGGTTGTAGGATATGCAAATAATCAAAACCCCCATAAAACAAGTATCCTGACTCAACTACCATCAATTAAAGTGCAAACTGCAGGGGGATGGTGTCTGGGGTAGAGGCCATCACAAGGCCAGGGTAGGGGAATGCCTATGTATAAATTAGAGAATGGTATCAGAAACTGGTACCTGCTCCAACGAGATCACAGCTGAGTCAAAGGTACAGGCAACCAGTGAAGATTCTTTGGAGGACTCTCGGGTCCAACCCCACTGTAGTGGGAGAAGCTACCTAAGGGGATGAGGAAGGGAAAACTGGGCCTTGGAAGAGTTCTAGAGCCAAAAATGACTCTGCACCTCTACCTCTATTCAGTTAGCTAATACAGCTCCCACATGGTGCCTGAGAGCTTGCTTCCCTATTCTCACTTCTACCAAGGAACACCCTCCACAAGTCCAACTCATGGATACTGCAGTGTTTCAAATATGAGAAATTTCTACCAGGTAAACAAAACAAAAAAGAAAATGTTTCCTTACTCCCTCCTGCTCTGAGCCTTACTCTGCCCCCAGGGCCCTTAATGTAACCAAACTAGAAACCTCCCTTCTCAGTTCCTGGCTTCACCATCTTCATCATCCTGGGAAAAGGAAAACAGGATCAAGAACAGGGATTGATCAAAAGAAGAAAAGGCAGGAGACAAAAGTCTTTTCTGAAAAAAGAGAAAGAACACAGGAAGAAGTAAAGATAAGTAATCACTGTCTTGCACCTATAATACAAAGTGAAGAAAGTTTGTTTTGGAAGTTAAATCCTGGGGGATTTGACCCCAAACCCAGGAATAGGGCATAGGAGGCCAGTGGCAACAGCTGCCTGGTGTTGGTTGCTGAAGCGTTAAAAAGTGCCATGACGGAGCTGCCAGGAGGCAGCCCTTGGGAGCCAGAGCTCAGTGTGCTGTTACCGTAGGGGTTGTGTGCTGAGGGATAGGGATGGAGGTTATTTCTTAGCTCTCGTGCTAACTCCATACTTGTCTGCTGTTAGCCACCCCCTCAGTTGCTACAACACTGGCTCTTGTTCTGCTGGGACTGCTCGTGGAGATCCACACCCCGGCTTCGTCCTGCTGCACCCCCCAGATTCTGGGGTTCATTCTTTGGCAACTTCTTTGCTAAAGATAAAAAAAGGAAACAAAGTACGGTAGATTTTACTCATATACACACACAAACTCCAGAAACAGACTACTGGGACTAAAAGAATGATCTGAAAGGACAAGGGTTGCAAATTACACTAAATACAAGGGAGCTGGAGACAGACACTTTTGTTTGAGATTTTTTGAGTGCTAAGGACTGAACCCACAAAGTTATATACCTCAGACCCTGGTTTCTCTCACTCTGTAGTCCAGGATGGCCTCAAACTCTTAATTCTCTGGTTTCTGTCTCCCAGATGCTAGGATTACAGATGTGCTCCACTATACCGTTTTTACTTTTAGGTTTTTTGTTAGCTTTCTTGTTTTTGAAACAGGGTCTCACTATGTAGCCCTGGCTGGCTTGAAACTCACTATGTAGACCAGGCTGGCCTTGATCTCACTGAGATCCACCTGCCCCTGCCTCCCAAATGTTATGATTACAGGCTTGTGTCACTAGGCATAGCTATTTTTTTTATTTTTGAAGTGAGGTCTCATGTACTCTAGGCTGATCTCAAACTTGCTATGTAGCTGAGGATGACCTTGAACTCTTGATCCTCTTGCCTCCATTTCTCAGGTCCTGAGATTATAGGACTATGCCACCAATACCTGGCTTAAAAAAATTTTTTTTTTAAATTATTTTTGTGTATATATGTGTATAAATTCACCTGTGTCATGCAACGCACAGGGAGGTCAGAAAAGGGCATCAGATCCCCTGGAACTGAAGTTATGGACAATTGTTAGCCATCATGTTGGTGCTGGAATCAAACCCAGGTCCTCTGTAAGAGCAGCTGGTGTTCTTAACCACTGAGCTATTTCTCCAGTCACCAGCTTTAAAAATTTTTGTATAAGGTCTTCATAAAGTGCCTAGGCTGCTTTCTCCCTCAAGCCCTGCTCACCATTGGTGAGATTATCTGTGTGTACTACTACCATGCCAGGCTGAAAGGTTTTTTTTTTGTTTGAGACAACTCTCTTTTTGAGACAGGGTCTCCCTGTAGCCCCAGCTGTCCTGGAACTCACTATGTAGACCAGGGTGGCCTTGAACTCACAGAGATCCACCTGCCTCTGCCTCCTGAGTGCTGGGATTAAAGGCATGCATCACCAGCCCGGCGAGACAACTCTTATAATATTGGCTGGCCTAGTACTCACTATGTATTCCAAATTATCCTCAGACTTGTGACAATCCCAAGTGCTGCATTACAAGCAAGACTACCAAGCCCAGCATGAAGCTAAGGCCTTTTATTGTTTTGTTTTTTAAAAATATTTTATTATTTTTATTTTATGTATATAAGTGTTATGCCTGCATGTAGGTAAGCACACCCATGTTGTGCAATGCTCGTAGAAGACAGAAGAGGCTGTTGGATCCCCCAGTACTGGAGTTATGGACAGTTGTTAGCTGCCATGTGGGTGCTGGGATTCAAACCCGAGTCTTCTGCAAGAACAACCAGTGTTCTTAACCACTGAGCTGTCTCTAGCCCTGTTGGTTCTTTCTTTGCAGTGTTGAAGAATAAGACCCTTGTAACTTTCTAGGCAAGTACTATACCACTGATTATATCCCCAGCTCCATACCTAATATTATAAAAGCAGACACTTCCACCTGTCCTTGATTTAGGTTAATGATTATTTTACCTTATAGACAAGAGAGGAAGATCTCAGACTGCTTTGACCTTACCTATTGCCAGGAAGAGATCATTTACGTTCATAGCTGTCTTGGCTGAAGTCTCCATAAATAATAAGCTGTTGTCATCTGCATATGCCTGAGCCTCCTAAAAGGGATGAGAGAATTAAGTATTGTTTATTTACTCCCATGTAGCACTCTAGAACTAGGCAATATTCTATGTTTTCTCCTCTCAATGACATTTGTGCCAGTTTGTAGTCTGGCACAAACCCATACTTTGGTGATGACTCCCTAAACATGAACTATGTCCACTATAACCAACAAAGAGATGTCAGGAATTTGTGTGTGCATACCTATTCATTTGTTTGTGCTACTGTGTGCGTGTGGAGGCCAGAGATTGAACTGAGTTATCTTCAATTGGTCTTTTTGAAACAGGGTCTCCCTGTAGCCTCAGCTGTCCTAGAATTCACTATGTAGACCAGGCTGGCCTTGAACTCACAGAGCTCTGCCTGCCTCTGCCTCCCGAGTGCTGGGATTAAAGGCATGAGCCACCACACCCAGACTCCACATTTATGTTCTATTTTTGTTTTTCCAGACAGGGTCTGCCTCACTGTATAGCCCTCACTGGCCTGGAAATCCCTATGTAAACCAAGTTGGCCTCAAACTCACAGAAATCTACCTGCCTCTACCTCCCAAGTGCTATGATTAAAGGCATGCACCACCACATCTGACTTTTTTTTTTAAACTATGCTTTTATGTATATGTATGTGTGCTTATATGAGTTTATGTGCAGGAGCCCATGGAGGCCAGAAGGCATTGGATCTTTTGGAACTGGAGTTACAGATGGTTTTAAGCTACTATGTGGGTGCTGGGAACTGAACCCAGAACCTGGGTCCTCTGTAAGAGCATTAAGTACTCTTAACTGCTGAGTCATCTCTCCAGTCCCTCCACATTAGTTTTTTAATTTAATGTTTGTGTTTGTGCAGAGGCCCATGTGCCATGGTATGATGATAGAGGTCAGAATTGGTTCTCTCCTTCTGCCTTTATGTGGGTTCCAGAGATTGAAATCAGGTCCCAATCTTATATGGCCAGCACCTTTACCTGCCAAGACATCTTGCTGGCCTCCACTTAAATTTCTATTTATTTATTTATTTATTTATTTGTGTGTGTGTGTGTGTGTGTGTGTGTGTGTGTGTGTTGAGACAAGGTCTCCCTGTAGCCCCAGCTAGCCTGGAACTTGCTACATAGACCATACTGGCCTCCATCTCACGGAGATCCATCTCCTTCTACCTCCTGAGTGCTGAGATTAAAAGTGTGAAGCATCACCCGGGGGTGGTGGCTCATGCCTTTAATCCCAGCACTTGGGAGGCAGAGGCAGGCGGATCTTTGTGAGTTCGAGGCCAGCCTGGTCTACATAGTGAGTTCCAGGACAGCTGGGGCTACAAGGAGACCCTGTCTCAAAAAGACAAAAAAAACAAAAACAAAAACAAAAAAACCCGAAAGTATGAAGCATCATGCCTGGCCCCGAAATTGGAAAAAAAAAAAAAAAAAAATTGAGTGTTTTGCTTATATGTATGTAAGTGTACCACATGTGTGTAAATATGCCAAGGCCTAAAGAGGGCATTGGATCTCCTGGAACTGGAGTTACTGATGGTTGATAGTTACCATGTGTGGTGCTGGTGGGACCTCTAGAAGAGTAGCTAGTGCTCTTAACCACGGAGCCATCTCTCCAGCCCCACTTTTCTTTTCGAGATAGAGTCTCTTACTGAACTTGGAACTGTTTCAGCTAGATCCTGGAACACACCTGTCTCTGCATCCCCAGCACTGGGATTTCAGGCATGTGCCACCTTGCCATACCTTCTTATGTAGGTGCTGGGAATCCAAACTCAAGTCCTTGTGAACTACCTCCTCAGCCTAAAGAATCTTAATTATGGGAGAGAAGAGTAAATTGTTTTGGACCTTTTTTGGTTATGACATGTGAATAGTTCCTTACATCAGATTTAACTGATCCCTCCCATCTTCACACTGGTACTCTGCAACTGGTACTTCCGTACCCGTGATCTTGATTCCTCTAATATCTCCTCATTGTCTTTTGGGTTACTGTGTTGCTGTATTTAATTTGGAGCAGAATTAGGGAATGAGACCATGAGTGCCTCACTTGAGGTTTTCAGAGAGCTGGTCCCAAAGGCAGAGGGAGTGTTAGAGAGGGCCTCTGTGAGCATCTTACTTCATACTCCACCATTCGCTTGTTGGCCAGGTCAGCTTTGTTCCCTGCTAAGGCAATCACAATGCTAGGACTAGCTTGTCTCTGTAGTTCCTTTACCCATGTCTTCGCTCGGGCAAAAGTTTCCTAGGAAAGCATGAGAAAGAATGGGCTGGAATGAGTGCTAATCCACAACTACCACTTCAAAATCCAGTCTCATAACATCTCTTTCAGGCACTCTTCCCTCACCAAAACCATAGGTGTCTAGGAATTATTTACTTTCTGGAAGCATATTTTGGATTTTTTTTTTTTTTGGTCTTTTGAGACAGGGTCTTCCTGTTGCCACAGTTGGCCTGGATTCACTGTGGAGACAAGGCTGGCCTTGAACTCAGAGATCCACCTGTCTCTGCCTCCCATCGCTGGAATTAAAGGTGTGCACCATATTTAGGACTTTTAATTTCACTATATGAAGAACCCATTTCCTCTCTCCCACCCTAATTTAATTTTTAGAAATAAAACCAAGAGGGGCTGAAGAGATGGCTCAGAGGCTGGAAGCACTGACTATTCTTGCAGAGGACCTGGGTTCGATTCCCAGCACCCACATGGTGGCTATGAACCGTCCTTAACTCCAGTTCCAGGGGAATCCAAAGCCCTCTTCTGACCTCCACAGCATTGCATGACATGACTGCACTCACATACATGCAGGCAACACACTCATACACATAAAATAAAAATAATAAATAAAAATTAAAACAAAACAAAACCAAGAATCTTCTTGGCCCACTTACCTGATTAGTAATATCATAAACGACAATTGCAGCTTGGGCACCCCTGTAGTACATGGGGGCTAAGCTGTGGTATCGCTCCTGCCCAGCTGTGTCCCAGATCTCAAACTTGACTGTTGTATCATCTAGACACACAGACTGGGTGAGGAAGGCCGCTATGAATAAGAAAATGTAGGGGAGAAGTTGTAAGTGGGAGGATCAATGGGACAATCCCAATCTCTTCAAATGATCTTGTCTCATCCTGAGACTAGTTATCCACCAGGCCAGTCAAGTACAGGTTTAATGTTCTCCTTATATGCTAAGTATTGAAACAAGATTAAGATTGCCTTTGAGTATTTGGGAGTAAAGGTAGGAAGCTCAGCAGTTTGAGGTAATCCTTGGCCGTTTAACAACTTTGAGGTCAGTCTGGGCTACATGAAACCCTGTATTTAACAAGAAAAAGTACCCTTGATCTGGCCCTGAAAGGCTGAGGCAGGAGGCTCAAAAGTTCAAGGCCTGCCCCTAAGTATAAGACCCTGTCCCAAAATTAAAGATCCAAGGCTGCCCTTTCCCCTTAGCCAAAAAAAAAAAAAAAAAAAAAAAAAAAACTTCTCTAGCTGGGGGCTGGAGAGATGGTTCAGTACTTAAGAGCACATACCGCTCTTCCAGAGGACCTGAGTTCAATTCCCAGCACCCATGCCAGGTGGCTCACAACCACCTGTAACTCCAGTAGATTTAGGTAATCCAAGGCCTCTGGCATCAGAGGGTATCCACACTCACATGCACATACACTCCCCCACCCCCAGGATTAAAAGTAAATCTTTTTTTTTTTTGGTCTTTTTGAGATGGGGTCTCCCTGTAGCCCCAGCTATCCTGGAACTCACTATGTAGACCAGGCTGGCCTTGAACTCACAGAGATCTGCCTGCCTCTGCCTCCCGAGTGCTGGGGTTAAAGGCGTGCACCACCATGCCTGGTAAGAAAATCTTTTTTACATATTTTATTTTTTTTATTTTATGTGTATATGTGTATTGCCTGTATGTAGGTAAGTACACTTGTGCAATGCCCACGAGTACAGAAGAGGATGTTGGATCCCCTGGAACTGGAGTTATAGTTGCTAGTTACTATGTGTGTGCTGGGATTCCAACCCAGGTCTTCTGCAAGAACAGTCGTGTTCTTAACCGCTGAGCCATCTCTCCAGCCCCCAAAGTAAAAAAAAAAAAAAAATCTTAAATAAAACTTCTGTAGCTATGGGGCATATCATAAAGTATGAGAGACAGGGGATAACTGGCTCTTATACTCCTCATCCCTCTCCTAACCACAATTAAGGGAATAACATATAAGAGACAATACATTTCAGATAGAAGTAAAATCAAGAATTAGAAGTTATTAGGTCAGGCATGGTGGTACATGCTTTTAATACCAGCACTAGGAAGCAAAGATAGGCAGGTCTCTGTGAATCTGAAGCCTAGGTGGTCTACCTAGCAAAATCTTGTTTAAAAGGGAAAAACATGGGGTGGGGGATTTGTGCTAGAGAGATGTCTCACTGGATAAGTACAATGGTTACTCTTGCAGAGGACCCAGGCTCCTGTTCCCAGCACCCACCTGGTGGCTCACAATTGTACTGAACTCCAGTTCCAGGGGATCTTATGCCCTCTTCTGGCCTCTGCAGGCACTGTAGACATAGGTACACCCCCCCCCCCCCCCCCCCCCCCCCGCCCCAAGAGATTGCAAAAGAAAAAAAGATTGGAAGTTTTTTCAGGGCATGATGACACACAACTCATTCTAGCACTTGGGAGGTAAAGGCAGGAAGTTAAGGAATTCATGGTCCCGATCATCCTTGAGTACAAGGTGAATTATAAGCCAACTTGGGCTACATGATGAGTCCCTGTATGAAAGGAAAAAAAAAAAAAAGAAACTGCAAAATTTTAAAAGCTGGTTTGGAGAGATGGCTCAGCAGTTAAGAGCACTTGCTATTCTTGCAGAAGACCTAGGTTCAGTTCCCAGAAACCACATGGCAGCCCACAACTATCTGTAACTCCAGTTCCAGGGGACCTGTCACTTTTTTCAGGTCTCCATGGGTAGCAGGCACACATGTGGTACACATACATACATGCAGGCAAACACTCATACAACATAAAATATTTTTTAAAGGCTATGCATGGCGGTGCACAACTTTAATCCCAGCACTTGGGAGGCAGAGGTGAGTGGGTCTCTGTGAGCTCAAGGCCAGCCTGGTCTATATAGTGAGTTCCAGGTCAGCTGGGGATACAGGGAGACCCTACTTCAAAAAGACAAATAAATAAAATAAAATAAAGCTTGATGGCAGGTCCCAGTATTATATTACACTTTTTTCATATAAATCTTCTGAGAAGTTTCGCACTTTCAAGGTAACTAGTAAAAGGAGGGATTAACATGGGAGTTCTCATAAAAGATCCTTTATTGAGGGGGCTGGAGAGATGGCTCAGGAGTTAAGAACACTGTCCTTGCAGAAGGCCCAGGTTCAAATCCCAGAACCCACATGGCAGCCAACAACTGTCCTTAACTGCAGTGCCAGGGGATCCGACAGCCTCTTCTGTCCTTGAGGACAATGTACACTAGTGTACTTATCTACGTGCAGGCAATACATGTATACACATAAAATACAAAAGAAATGAGAAATCTGTGAATAAAGCTAGAACTTGAATGTAAAAAAAATGTAGTTTACCTTTCCATTTTTCAAAACACCACTGTGTTAAAGATATCACGGATAATTATAAATAAAAATAACCCAAAATATAAAAAAAATAAAAATAAATTAAAATAAAAAGATCCTTTATTGAATGAATTCCCTACTTTGGATTAATGGCAGGGAAGAAAGTAGCAAAGGTAGAAAAGGCAGACGCTTTTTCTATTTTGCACTAGTTCCAGATTATTTTGTGTTACACACACACACACACTCTACTACTGAGCTATACTCCTTAGTTCTAGATTCTGAGCAGATAATGTGCTTGGAGTCACCTAAGGAATTTCTCTAAACACATGCCTGTGATGCTGCCATCAACCTCACTCTACCTCCAGTATTAACCAGCAGATCAATGGGAAAGTCCAAATATAATGGGCCTCAGGCAGTTCTGATGTACATCTTCTGTCTTGTTATTATGAGATATGAGTGTGGGTGTGGCATGGTGGACTGTGAGTTGGTTCTCTCCATCTACCTTTTCGTGAGCTCCAGGGATTGAATCTAGGTCCTAAGACTTGTATAGTAAGCTCCTCTACCCTGAGGTATCTTGTCGGCTCATTTTTTTTTTTTTAAAGTTAAATGGGCTTTAAAATACATATATTTTATCTGTCTATATGTGTATGTGTATGCATGTGCATATGCCACATGTATGTGGGGTGCCCACAGAGGCCAGAAGCACTTTTTTTAGCCTTCCTGTAGCCCCAGCTAGCCTGGAACTCTTTATATAGACTAGGCTGACCTTGATCTCACAGATTCCCCCTGCCTCCTGAGTGTTAGAATTGAAGTACTACCATGCCTGGTGCCAGAAGTGCTCTTTTAACTGCTGAGCCATTTCTCCAGCTCCTGGGATTTTTTTTTTTTCTTTTTTTTTTTTAAGATTTGTCACTTGGCTGGGTGCAGTGGCACAGGCCTTTAACCCAGCACTCAGAAGGCAGAGGCAGGTGGATTTCTGTGAGATGGAGGCCAGCCTGGTCTACATAGTGAGTTACAGGCTAGCTGGGAGATCCTCTCTCAAAAAAAATAAAAAAATAAATAAAATAAAATAAAATAAAATAAAGAAAAAGAAAGATTTACCACTTATTTGTGTATATGCCTGTGTGCATGTATATGCATGTAGATGTGAGTGCCTGAGGAGGGCATCAGATCCCTTGGAACTGGAGTTACAGGTTGCAAACTGCCCACCTGAAGTGGGTGCTGGGAAACAAACTTGTGTCTACTGCAAAAGCAGGACACATTCTTTTCTCTTTTTTTGGTATTTTGAGATAGGGTCTCCCTGTAGCCTCAGTTGGCCTCAAACTCACTATATAGACCAGGCAGGCCTTGAACTCACAGAGATCCTCCTGCCTCTGCCTCCAGAATGCTGGGATTAAAGGTATGTACTACCACGCCTCTTAAACTATGAGGGCTGCATCTCTCCAGCCCTCTGGGAATTTTTTAAAGAAAAGGTTTTAACAACAGAGGTGCTTAAGGACAGTTTAAAAAAAAAAAAAAACGGTGGGGGTGGGGCAGGGAAAAAAAAAAAAGAACAGTGGTACACAACGTGTGATGCGCTTCCTCAAGAGAGAGTTATTCTGAATACGTATTTATGTCATTGCTCCAAACCAAAACTAATTTTGATTTTGGTGGTACTAGGGATTGAACACAACACCCTTTTTGCATGCTAGTCAAATACTCTACTACTGAACTATATCCCAGACCTTTTGATTTTTAGACAGGACCTTACTAAGTAATGCAGGCAGATCTTGAACTCACTCTGTAGTCCAGACACACTTTGAACTTGGATCCTCCTCCCTTAGCCTCTCAAAGAGCTAGGATTACAGGCCAGTGTTATTAGAACTTTTTTTTTTTTTTTTTTTTTTTTTTTTGTCTTTTTGAGACAGGTCTCCCTGTAGTTCCAGCTGGCATGGAACTCAATATGTAGACCAGGCTGGTCTCGAACTCACAAAGTTCCACCTGCCTTTGCCTTCCAAGTGCTGGGATCAAAGGTGTGAGCCACCATGCCCAGGTAGAACTTTTAAAAAAATTTTTCATTTATTTTCATTTTATGTGTATGAGTGCTTTGTGTGCATGTATTTTAAGTGTACCATGTGCAAACCCACAGAGGCCAGAAGAGGGTGTCAGATCCCCTGGAACTGGAATTACAGATGGTTGTTAGCTACCATGTGGTTGCTGGGACCTGTACCCTGGTCCTCTACAAGAGCAGCCAATGCTCTTAACTGCTGAGCCATCTCCAGCTCATTTTGTGTTGTTTTTTGAGACATGACCTTATTAGATAGCCCCAAGCTATCTTGGAACTTGAATGTAGTCCTCTTGTTGACTCCTAGAGTACTCCCAGTCCTACTATAATATTTACCTGCTCATAAGGTCATTCAACTGACTTCACTGGCATCAAGACAATACGTGAGAGAAATGGAAGATAGTTTTCTTGGATGAACATACACATACCTTGTTTAGGCATTATGGCAAGTCTTTGAATATCGCTTTGTGGCTTAGGGTGGCCTGAAACTTACTATGTGGTCCATAATAACATCTGTCCTTTCCACCTTCTTTGTCATTCATTCAAATCAGGATATTAATTCAATAAAGGATCTCTGATGAGAACTCCCACTTACTCCTCCTTTTTTACTAGTCACTTTGGAAATCTGGTACTCTTGGATTATATGAAAAGGTAATGGCCAAATTATACTGCTGGCTTTGAATTCACAAGACTCTTCCTGTCTCAGCCTCTTGAGTGCTGGGATTATAGGTGTGAGCTATCAGGTCTAGCTTTTATTTTTAATTTGTTTTTATTTTATTTTTTAAAATTGAGACAGGGCTCACATAGCCCAGACTGACTCAAAATGAATATAGTTGAGGATGGCCTTGAACTTGATCTTCCTGCCTTCCCCTCTTGAATTTGGAGATTACAGAGTGTGCCACTATACTAGGTCAATTTTGGTTTTATGAAGGGTTTTCTTCCCTGAGGTAACACATAGTTCTGAGGGCCAATTTCACAATCAGGTCTGAATCTTCCTTTAAAGTATTCCTAAGCATTGAACCTCTTCCTTCCCTGAGGTACTCACCTCCAATGGTACTTTCCTGGTACTCATGGAACTGCCCTTTGACAAAACGTAACACCAGGCTAGACTTCCCCACTGCAGATTCTCCCAGCAGGACCAATTTGAACTGGCATATTTTGCTGGCCTGGGGCTGCCCATTGGGCCTAGCTGTGCTTCTGCTAGTCATAGCCAGCTTATCAAGTAGGAAAGGGCAGAGGGAGGGGGTGCCACAAAGCGGCAAAGGGGGGAGGGGAAGGGGGGACTTCCAGACTTCAACAATCCTGCAAGGAAAAAGAAAATTGAATAAAATCAGACACAGGTCCACTGTAACTACAATCAGTTTTTTCCTTTAGGGTTGCTGGTTGCTTTGTTTTAGTAAAGTAGCATTGAACTATGTAGCCCAGGTTGGCCTCTAACTCAAAGCAGTTTTCCTGCCTCGACCTCCTAAGTACTGGGATGACCCACTATACCCAACTAGAGGTTTTTTTGTTTGTTTTTTTTGAGACAGATTCTCCCTGTAGCCCCAGCTGGCCTGGAACTTGCTATGTAGGCCAAGCTGGCCTTGAACTCTGAGATATGCCTGCCTCGGCCTCTCGATTTCTGGGACTAAAGGTGTGTGGCAACCAACTAGAGTTTTTAAGATAGGGTCTACATAGCTCTGGCTGACTTGATTCCTGATCCTTCTGCTTCCACCTCCCCTTATCTGCTAGAATTACAGGCCCACATGCACCCCATGCCCAGCTTATTTTGGGTTTCTGAGTTAGGGTCTCACCATGTAGCTCAGTCTGGTATCCAACTTGTGATCTTCCTGTTCCTGCTTCCTGAGTGTTAGAATTATAAATATGTGCCACACAAACATCAACCCCCACTTTTTTTGGGGGGGGGGTCTTTTTTGAGACAGGGTCTCCCTGTAGCCCCAGCTGGCCTTGAACTCATAGAGATCTGCCTGCCTCTGCCTCTGCCTCCCAGTGCTGGGATTAAAGATGTGTGCCACCATACTCAGCAAGCAACCACCACTTTCTATGGTTTTAAATCTTATTTCTTCTGTGTATTTTGGGGTTTTGTCAAGGTCTTGCTATGTAGCCTTGGCTGGTGGCCTGTGGTGGCCTTGAAATTACTATGATTTTCCTGCCTTTTCCTCCTGAGTGCTGGGATTACCAGGCATGCAGTTATTTCTTAGAGCAAGGACAGAATCTCTTCATTTCCCTGTTCCTATTGGAACTTAGCACTTGTAATTATCTATCACTGAAAGGTTACTTATCCCTCTAATATGGCCCTATGCAGGTGATGTAAATAACTACTTCTGGAGAAGCATGGTGGAGTAGATCTATAATCCCAGCACTCAGGAGGCTGAGGCAAGGTGATCCATTATTAGCTGGAAGCCAGCCCCTCCTCGCCCCAAAAGAATTGCATCTGAAATAGAGATTGCTTTACCAGAGTCTAACTGGCAAGGGTACTGAAAAGGAGACTAAAAAAGATTGTTATCCTCAATTTCCTACCAGATCTTTAAAAGTATTTTCTGAGTCACAGCAAATCAATTAACTTTTAGTTTGCCCATTCCACCACAGGTACCCCAGATGCCCAGTATACCATTGGTGTGTCCCTTTCATTCTATCTCTTTAGAAGTTCTGGGATTTACACAAGTTAGGCAAGTGTTATACCACTGAGCTATATCCCCAGTCCTTAGTTTTCTGAGATAGTTTTACTACATAGTAGCTCAGGCCAGCCTCTCAACTCTTGATTCTCCTGCCTCCACCTCTGGTGTGATAGAATTACAGGTGTATACAACTTGCTCCACACTTTTAAATTTTTAAAAAAATATTTTTATTTTATGAGTGTACTGCCTGCATGTATGTGAGTGCACCTACGCCATGCCATGCCTCAGAAGAGGGTGTCAGATACCCTGGAACTGAAGTTGTTGCCACCATGTGGGTGCTGGGAATTTAACCCAGGTCTTCTACAAGAGCAGCCAGTGTTCTTAACCACTAAGACATCTCTCCAGGCCCATTCCCTCCTCCCCTTTTCTTGTGAAAGGGTTTCCCTACAGCTCCAGCTGGCCTGGAACTTACTCTGATCTGCCTGCCTCAGCCTCCTGACTACTGGGATTAAAAGCATGTGCCACCATGCCTAGTTCTCCCTGGTATCTAGTTGCTATGCCCCTTTTCTTTTACCTAGCTCTTAAAATGAAAGATTTACAATAGGAGTGTGGGATATAGGACAAGTCACTCTCTTAAGACTATAGTGACAGCATCTAGGTTTTCTTTCTTTCTTTTTTTTTTTTTGGTCTTTTTTTGAGACAGGGTCTCCCTGTAGCCACAGCTGGCCTGGATTCACTATGAAGACCAGGCTGGCCTCAAACACACAGAGATCTGCCTGCTTCTTCCTCCTGAGTGCTGAGACTAAAGGCATGCACCACCATACCCAGCTCAGCATCTCGTTTTGTATCCTCCATGCATAACCAGTTCTTTTTATTTAGTCAAGAGTTTCATACTGTAGTCAAGGCAGGCCTGGAACTCGCTATTGAATTCACAGAACCCTCCTGCCTCAACTGCAGGGCTGAGATTACAGGCATGAGTCACCATATCTGTCTTATTATCAATCTTCTTGACATTTCTGAAGATCTAATCAAGGTTCTATTGCCAGAAATCTTACTCTTTCTCATCTCTGGTCTTAGGTAAAGAGAGACGCATACCCAACAAATTACATTAATTATCAATTTTTTCATTGCTTCTGCCACCCTTCCAAATTTGAAAGTCTATCAGTGCTGAGTCAGTAAGCCTGAACTAGTCTCAATTTGCAACCATTTTGCTGGTACTTAGGAATTAAATTGCACTACACACTAAAGGGGCCAAACAGGTATAGCCCTCCACACTAGAGACAGGGAAAGATACACTTTTAAACACATGCAGGAGTCTCCAGGGGAATGGTACAGGGGTGAGTCTTCAAGCAATCAGTATTTGATGAAAAAAAAAAAAAATCACACTGAACCAACTCTTCCACCTTCTGAGATAAACAAGAAAGCTGCTGGAAGCGGGGGAAGAGACAAGCTGGGGCCTTGACAGTCTAATCAGCCAACCTGAATAAATGTCACCATCCTGAAAGTAGGGAGTTATGAGATTTAAACAAGGAACTGGAGAGATGGCTCAGTGGTTAAGAGCACTGGTGGCTCTTCCAGAGGACCTGGGTTCGATTCCCAGCACCCACATGGCAGCTAACAGTTTTAACTCCAGTTCCAGGGGATCTGATGCCCTCTTCTGGCCTTTGCACAATACGGGTGCAGGCAAAACACTCATACACATAAAATAGAATCAACCAAAAAAAATTTTTTTAAAGAAGAGATTTTGGGGCTGGAGAGATGGTTCAGTGGTTAAGAGTACTGGCTGCTCTCACAGAGGACCAGGGTTTAATTCCCAGCACCCACATGATGGCTAACAACTGTCCATAACTCCAGTTCCAGGGGATCCCTCTTCTTACTTCCTCCAGCACAACACAGGTGCAACCTACCTACATGCAGGCAATATACTCATACACATAAAATAAAAATAAAAATCGAACCTGGATCCTCTGCAAGAGCAGTCAGCGCTCTTAACCATCTCTCCAGCCCTGAAGTAAAATATTTTAAAAAAAGAAATTTGCTAGATGTGGTGGTGTACGCCTTTAATCCCAGCACTCAGGAGGCAGAGGCAGGTGGAGTTCTGTGAGATCACAGCAAGTGCTATGTAGATCAGCTGGGGCTATAGGGAGACCCTATCTCAAAAACACCAAAAAAAAAAAAATCATTAAGTGTAACGTAAAATTAAAATTAGGGCTGTGGACTGTAAGGGTACTTGCCATCAAACCTGACTACCTGAGGTCAAGCCCTGGAGAGTTGACTCCTGCAAGTTATCTCTTGGTGTCCAGACGTGCACTGTGACAAGCACCTCCTCCCCCAGTACACAAAAAAACAGGTGTTCAGCCGGGTGTGGTGGCGTACACCTGTAGTCCCAGCACTTGGGAGGGAGAGGCAGGCAGATCTCTTTGAGTTCAAGGCTAGCCTGGTCTACATAGTGAGTTCCAGGACAGCTGGGGCTACTAAGACACCTTGTTTCAAAAGACAAAAAAAAAAAAAAGAACATTGATTCTTCTTGCAAGAGTTCAAATCTCAGCCACACACACGGCAGCTAACAACTGTCCGTAACTCCAGTTCCAGGGGATCAGACAGCCTCTTCTGTCCTCCGAAGGCAATGCACAACATGGGTGCACTTACCTACATGCAGGCAATACACTCATACACATAAAATAAAAATAATATGCCAGGCGTGGTGGCTCACACCTTTAGTCCCAGCACTTGGGAGGCAGGCGGAGCTCTGTGAGTTCAAGGCCAGCCTGGTCTACATAGTGAGTCCAGGACAGCTGGGGCTACAGGGAGACCCTGTCTCAAAAAGACCGAAAAAAAAAAAAAAAAGTCTGACTCAGAGTAAACACTCAGTCCGGCTTTTCATAACTCAATCTAGTGATTCCAAAGAGGCCTACCCCCAAATCCCACTAAGTAGGCAGACCGTTCTTCCTTGCTGGCCCAGTATCCAGGATTGCTGGGGCTACAGGGAGACACTGTCTCAAAAAGACCAATAAATAAATATATAAATAAACAAAAAATTTTAAAAAAGAAGAAATTTAAGGAAGAGTTAACATGAAGAGAACACACAAAAACCTCTCTCTAAAACATGCATTTCTGGGGCCTACAAGATGGTTCAGTGGGTAAAGGTGCTTAGTGTCATGCCTGATGACCTGGGTTTGGACCCGAAGTTCAATCCCCAAGACCCACAAGGTGGAAGAAGAGATCAAACTCTTGCAAGTTGTTCTCTGACCTCCACACAAGTGGATATGAATCTCTCATCCAAAACAAGTAAATGTAAACCAGGCATGGTGGCCCACGCCTTTAATCCCAGCACTCAGGAGGCAAAGGCAGGCAGATCTCTGTGCATTCAAGGCCAGCCTGGTCTACATAGTGAGCTCCAGGACAGGTGGGGCTAAAGGGAGACCCTGTCTCAAAGACCAAAAATAAAATAAAATAAAATAAATAAATAAATAAATAAACCAAAACAAGTAAAAGTAAAAAAGATTTAACAGGATGTATGGATTTCTTTTTTTTTTTTGTCTTTTTTAGACAGGGTTTCCCTGTAGCCCAGCTGGTCTGGAACTCACTATGTAGAACAGGCTGGCCTTAAACTCAAAGAGATCCACCTGCTTCTGCCTCCTGAACGCTGGGACAAAAGGGGTAAGCCACCAAGCCTGGCCCACC